GGCCTCTCATCTTGCCCGGTTCTGGCTCTCCTCCGAAACGGAGATGTAACCCAAGAAGGACTCACGTCCAAATCGATTCGGAATCTGATGCAAAAAATGCAAATGTTTGCCAAAGCCAGGGGAGAGCCTCTGCCTCGAGATGCAAATTCCCATTTCACTAAGTTTCGATTTGTCAAATGCATCAAACGTTGGGAACAACAGTCACGCAGCATACGCAAATGACACGGCAGCAACAGCAGCAGCAGTTCCACTTGTGGCTGCACAGATGCAGATACTTTTACGAGGCGCACATTCAGATACATCTGCATTCAGTGCGTTTCGGGTTGGGTTAAGCTTGCCATCGCTTTTTCAAATGCATTTTCAATCTGTCCCCATGCATTTCCCATAAGCCTGTGTCTCAAATTCATTAGAATCAATACAGTGTGTGCCAAATTCTTTGTCCTCTGCCAGAGTTTAGATTGTCCTGAGGGAATGCCGACAAGCCCTAGGCCTTAAAATACCTAAATTTAAAATAATTTAAATTCGTGCCAGTATTCTTGCTAACCACAGTTGAGGAAAATTGGTAAATCATACTTTAGTTGATCAAACGTTAAATAAACTTAAAACAGCAGCGTATTTGTTTAATCGTTAAGAAACAAAAACGAAAATTTACCATTGAAATTCAATAAAAAACGACACAAAACTGGGATGCGTTTAAAATTTACGTAATAATATAATGTAATAAATAAACATATTTGAAATGAAATTAATAATAATAAGATAAGTTAGTATGTCCATATGTCGGAGCTTGGGTTTGTCTAAAATAACATAATTTTGAACAATTTAAATTTTTGCTGGCACTTGGGGAAAATTAGTAAATCATTAAGGAGAACATATTTGTATACTTTAGTTGATCAAACGTTAAATGATCTTAAAACAGCAGCATAATTCTAAAATGGCTTTAAAGCGCAAATCTAAATTTACCTTTACAAAACCATAAAATAAAATACAGAATTGGGAGGCATTCAAAATATAATATATAATATAATAATATATTGTAATAAAAAAAAAATTAAAAATGAAAAGGTGGTCTAGGCATTTGGAACACAAAACGATAGGTAATATAAAATAATATAAAAAAGATTAAAAATAAAATAAATAAAAAAGAAAAAACATCAGCACTGGACAGCAGCTTGGCTGCATTAAAAACAAATATATGTACTGATTCATACTCCATAACCTTACATTCTGGCAATCGATATTTTATAAACTATATCGATAATTTTTCAAAACACTGGTTTTAGTTTAATCGAAATTGCTCAACACTGTCAAACTTTTTAAAAAAATCTCGTTAAAATAAATTAAGTTTGGTTTGCAATTCTAAAAACATTAAATTTTTTTACTTTATCTTACTTAAAGCCAGAGATTTATTTAAAGAATTCCTTACGATTTAGGAATGATTTTTTAGTAAATCTCCAGCTCCCAATCAATAAAATACGAATTTTTTTTAAGTTTATCCAATGGCTTACATATACAAATGTATCTGTTGCTCGCATTGGCTCCGTAATGCGTTTGTTGACCCATTCAAAGCCAGTCAATACGATTCGCTCCTTGATGCTGACGTTTTTATCTGCAAAATACAACTCACTCCCTACCCCTAGCGCGACGAGACGACTGTCTGTCATTCGAAATCCATTGAGCGTGACGTATGAGTATGAAATTCTTGGAATACTTTCCTTCAGTCCCGCTCCAGCTCCAGCTCCCTCCACTGGCACTGTCTGACATGGTCTATTAATTTTATTAGTGCCATCGCATACAGTTGATGCTTAGAATTCGTACTCCTTTTTGCTCCGAACAATATTTTTACTTTGCAAGCAAAATTGTCATTTTTGTCTCAGTTTTGAGGCACAAAAAATGCAATAAATTCCAGACTTTGTTCGGTTGCAAAAAGTGAACCAAGCAGGAAATTTTCTTTAAGGCATTTTTTTTACACGGAAGTACTTTTCCCTTTAACCCCAAAACTGTGGCGTATAATCCGGCCTTCTCGCCCAGGAGAATGGCCAGTTTGGAAAAGTGTACCCACTCATATTGTATGATTTATTTGTTGCATTAGTGAATGTCGTTGGCAGCAGGAGCCGGCGGCTAGCGGCTGGCCACTTCAGTGTGTCTGGACCTCCCTCGAGCGCCTAAAGGTATGCAATGCTCACTTGTTTTATAAATGGCCTAAAACTGAGTGTTTTGGTTGCTATGGCAGTGATGCTTTATACGCTTTTCATACCATTAAATAATTTTATAATAAATCTAGCCATTTACAATTACACCATTAATCAAAATTCAATTAAAATTATCAAAATTAAACAATTTGCAACTCTTTTATAATGGCTTATAAACCTTATAAAAATAAATTAATTTATAAAGGTAATAATAATATCAATAAACAAAATATTTAAGTAATAAGAATACAAAATTGTTAGATTAAAATGAATTAATATATATATAAAGAAAATCAAACAGGTACTAGGTTTTTCAAAGTCAAAATTGTCAAAAATTTTATATATATTTTATTTTATTTTGAATATGCAGTTTTATTAATTTTATAAACATTAACAGGAAAGCGTTGCGAAAAAAATTAATGATTTTTTAGCCTAGTTAAATTTAATTTGTCGAAAAAAAATGTCATAAAAAAATAAATATAAGTACCGGTTGAAAGATTGCAAATATTTTAAACTCAGTTATGATCGATTTTCGATTCGAGCGTAAAAATTAATTGCAAAATGCCAGGGTATATTCAATATTTTTAAAATTTCCGTTTTTAAAATAGCTAAAAATCAGCTAAAATGACTGCTGCTAGTTGCAACAACATTTGTCCAGCAGGACATTAAGTAGTCCCTATTTTTTAATGCTGCAAAATGCACAAAGTCGTTGTCGGGGAGCAAACAAACAGAGACATTGCAGCAAATAGAGACGGGCACAGTGGGACAACGTTGCTACAGTAAACACTGCAGCAAGTGGAATGCAGCGAGGCGTGCTAATTGTGTCATTTACATCGGCAAACAACGACGAGCGAACAAGTCAAAGGCTCAAACAAATTAATGCGGCTGAGCGCACCTGTTCGAGCTCTTTGCACAGCGTAATTAATGCCGACTGAGAGGTAAGACAAGCAAATGTTTAAATTAAGTGAAAAAAAAGTACAAAAAATTCTTGTCAGAAGTGGGATTCGAACCCACGCCTACAGAGTAGACTGCGACCTGAACGCAGCGCCTTAGACCACTCGGCCATCCTGACAGTTGTACGTCAGCCCTCCCAAACGGAAACCGAACAGAAAGCTGCTTAACAGATCGAAAATTTCTATGCTAACACTGATCTAGCCAAAAGCTTTAGCTTAGCATTTAAAAAGTTCTTTGCAAAGAGCTTTGATCAACTCGGCACTTTCTCTTTACATAAATATTGTAGGTTATTATACCTAACTATTAAAAAAGAATCTTTAAAATCATTTGATTATTAGAACCCTTATTACTAAAGTGAACGAAATAACCTCTTATTCCTTAAGGTATTTTATAGTTTTGGTATATATTAAATATAACGATAAGTTAATATGGTAGTTTAGGATTTTGTGAGTTTTAGTAAATTCTTTACATTAAAAAAATAATTTTTCCATATGGCTGATTTAAATTTCTGTAGAAACTTCGCTTAGCTTAGTCTTCAAAATATAATAATTTAATACTAACAATATTCAATCAATAAAAAAATATTTTTTAGCCAGAATATATTTACAATAAATACGACAACTTAAGAAGCTAACTTAAGAAAACTTAAAAAAAAAATTTTATACCCTTGCAGTTTAAAATTTAATTAATTTAAATTTATTATAAGCTAAAAATGTATTTATTTCCATTTGCAATGCTCTTCTGTTTAGGTTAACAAATCAGCATATTAAGTTTCAAAACTTTTGAATTTGAGACAGTATATCGTTTAAAACATTTAGAACCATTTTTTAGAGGACATCAACTGACTAGATTGAGTCGGCTGTTAATGCTGAGCAAGAATTTATACGATTAAAACCACTGTTTAAACAAAAATATCCCGTAAGGATTTATAAATAGTTTCACAAGGCTTAAAATATCATACCGAAAATACTAGCATATTTGTAAACAATATTTATTGATTATAATCAACCCCACAGTATTCTTATTCAACCCCATACTCTACTTTTTTAACTTTTCCATTCCGCAAGATTTAAATAATACATCCCAAAATACAAAAGGCAGCCATCAATTAAAACTAGAAAATAGTTTTTCATTTATTGATTTATCCAGTATTTCATACGATCAAAAATATAGTAATGCAGTGATACTTATTTGTAATAATTGTCTTACATGATTATTTGCTTGTTTTGTTGTTGTAACTCTTTTCTTGTTATTACAATAATTTACTTTATTTTCAACAGAGTGATAGTGTCAATTTCATACTTCTGAAGGAGAATCAAGGTACCACCGCCGTCACACACTCGTGTCCCGTCTTGATTTTGTACAGAAATTGAAAATCTGTGTTTTGTGTCATAAATTGAAATTTATTTTAAAAGAAACGCAACGTTTCCCGCACACAAAAAATTGCTAAACGTTTCCTAAATATACAATAGATTAACTAAAAATATGACTACAATTTATTCCAAAATTTATTCTTGCACATCTATAAAACAAATACGTTTGTTGTTTGTATATATTTTAGGCATATTTCTTGGCCTTTGTTTACAATTTTGTTTTTTTTTAGTACTAAGTCTTTCATTTGTTGCATTTTAATTTTGACTTTTCTCGTTAGGTGTTGATTAAAATTCATTCGACGTGAGATTTAACTAAATTGAGCTAAAATATATATTTTACAATTGCCATTTGTTGTAACCTTTACTCTGCCTTTTTGTGTGTGTAATTGTGTGTTATTAAAAATAATTTTTGGATGGTTTCATTTGTGTTTAGATGTAACTCTTACTTTTGCGCCAAAAACAAAAGCATTTTTCGGGGAAATTCCGTTTTCTGTTCTTCTTTTCTTGCTTTTAATTCATAATCAAGTCGCTTTCTTCATTCAATTACTTCAAGGATCATTTCATACATTAAACTTAGCATAGAGAAGTACACTAGACATTAGCTTTAATATACACATATATGCATAAATGTGTTTTTTTTTTTTTGTGTATATATATATATATATATATATATCGTATGTACATAATTAATAGGCAACCACTTAAGCATACTATAAAAATAAGTATTGTTTATGCAATATTAATTTGCCACAAAAGAAAATGTACTAAAAACCGAAAAAAAACTGTACATTATACAAGTATTCATTCTGATGTGATCGGCACTCAGTTATTATTATTAATATTATTATTATTATAATCCTTATCATTATCCTTGTCAATCTGTTCAACAGCATCATTCATCGTCGTTCCAAGCACATGCACAGCACAGTCATGATATCCAAAAACCAAAACCCAGCCTCAGACTATCGTCTCACCAACTAAACGTCAACAAATTTCATTTATTGGGATGACGAGATAAACGAGGATTTTCTAAAAGTGGACACAGACAAAACCAATTCGGTAAATGTGGGAAGATTCCGTCACCTGCACGTGGCTTGGCATTCAGATCGAGTTTAAGAGTCTGGCGAGTTTGGTTTTGGACGCGGACATGTGCCATAAGTGCGCACACAGCTTTATTATCGCTGTTTTAGCTGTATCCTTGTTGTTGTTGTTGTGGTTGTAGTTGTAGTTGTTGTCGTTACTTCATCTGCTACGTCTCTGTGGCTTAGTACATTGACTTTCATGAGGCGTACATGCGATTAATATCATGCTGATATTTGTCCTGAATATCCTTTCGCTTCAACTTAAAGGCAGCCGTAACCAGTCCCATGTCCGGCGACCAGACCTCTTTGCATAGCGTAATGGCGGCCGGCACTTCGTACTTTTGCAACTTGCCTGCATAATCAGAAAAATAATATATTATATATCCACACTATAATTTCCCTTGCAATAGCTTACATTTCCTCGCATGCTCTGCAATTTCCTTAAGGATAGCCTTCTCGATGACGGGCGATGAGCACAGCTCCTCGTAGGTCTTATCCGCCATTCCATGCTTCTCGGCCAGCTCCTCGAGATGCTTCTGGTTGGGCACCACCAGCGCCACAGTGTACTGCTTTGTGGGATCACCGTATACGCAAATATTCTCAATAATGCCACATGTCTTCAGCTCCGACTCAACCTTGCCCAGAGAGACGTATTCGCCGGCCTGCAGCTTAACCAGATCCTTCTTACGATCTGTGAGGATATATAGTTTAGGATTACATTTTATACTTTCAAATTAGGCTGGGGAAACTCACCAATAATCTTAAGTACGCCATCGGCTTGAACTTCACCAATATCGCCGGTTTTGAACCATCGTCGTCCGCCCTCCTCGAAGAAGTCCTCGTTGGTCTTGCCGGGCAGCTTGTAGTAGCCCTGCGACACGCACTCGCCGCCAATGAGCACCTCACCCTGGGGATGCGGCTTGTTGGTGACACGATAGTTGCCCTCCTCCCAGTTGACCAAGCGAATATCGCAAACGGTTAGAGGACCGCCAGTGCGTCCATAGGTCATATCGCGATCTATAAAGTCAGTAATTAATTAAGTTCAAAGCTCGCAATAGCAACACTCTTTCGAACACTTACAGTCCATGACGGTGGCTCCTGACGTGGTTTCCGTGAGACCATAACCCTGAATGAGTTCCAGGCACAGACATGTCTTGATCTGCTCATGTGTGTCCGCGGACAACGGCGCTCCACCGGACATAATAATTCGCACCTTACCACCCATCAACTTGGCCACCTTCTTGAAGACCAATCTGCAAGAGAAACCAAAGATTTAGTTACCAATTCACAACCACTGAAGTCACTCTCTTCTTACTTGTCAATCAGAGGCGTCTTGTAGCCACGCTGCACCCACTGGACTTTGTATTGGTAGAGGAATTTGAAGAGCGCCTTCCTAAATGCCGAGCCTGAGTTAACCTTGTCATTGATTCCCTTGGAGATGCGGTCGAGTATCAGCGGTACCGAGGTCATGCAGGTGGGCTTCAGCACGGTGGCATCACCACTGCAACCTCGCTTGATCTTGCTGCTGGTATCAATCAGGGTCAATGGGGTCGAATAGCCAATGGGCACGCCGGTCATCAGGCAAACACTCTCCGCAACCAATTCGAAAACGTGGGCCAGGGGCAGAAATCCAATGAGCACATCGTCGGGATAAATGGGCACCATGTCGCAGAAGCCCTTCATTGTGGCAATGCAGTTCTTGTGAGAAAGCAGGACACCCTTGGGTGTGCCCGTAGAACCGGAAGTATACATAATAATCGCAATATCATCGCCCTTGGGTGGTACGTTCTCTGTGGGGTAAAATAGTAAAGAAAGGGAATTAATTACAAGCTATAATCGTATGAAACTTATATTGTATTTGAACTTAGCATGCTAACCCTACACTTTCATTTTTATTTTTAGTTACAGAATTACTTTCAACAAAATTGACTGGACTCGAGGTCTATTGAGATTTTGGCCTAAATTTAAAAGGACTAAAAATGCCAGCTATCCTTGACGAGTTCATTACCCTAACACCACTGACGTGTGTGCAACAGGTCAATGCTTTGCTGAACGCGGCATCGTCGAAGCCAAGAGGCTGCAAAGTGTTCTGCACCTTATTCGGCGTGTACTGCGGAGTACTCGCCTATCGGGCATATAAGGTCCACTCCAAACGCATTGCAGTTCAAGATGGACAGGCAGCGAACATAGCTGTTGAGGCGGTCAACGAAGTGGAGGAAACAGATTTGATATCGGCATTCAGTGATATGAGTGGACGCCTAGCCCCTGATCCTTCGCCAATACTCTTACAGCCTGCTGACATGTCAAACACCGACATGCTGTAAGAATTGGACCTATACTAGTAATTAGACACCTAATATCTAATGTAATACCTTCCATTTTAAAGATGGCGCTATGGACCTCAGACTACATCCGAACTTAAACCAGATTCTGAGAGCTCGGACGAGGATGAAAGGTCTATAACTAAAAGCAATGGAGGGTCTGAGGTCGCCACTGTGTCAGTGGGGACATCCACAAAGGGGAAACATGTTCGGAAACACGAGGACAAAATCGAGGGAGAATCTACCAAGGCAAACTTTTCGGTCTGACTCAATGGCTAAGAATCCTATCCTTTGGCTTTAAATAAAGACGTAGATTCCTTTTTTACTCACCGTGTTTGCTGTCCTGGCCGTTCTTGATCACCTGGTTAAAGGGCACGATCTTGACGCCTGCCTTAAAGCCAGTGGTTTCCGTCTTGTGCAGCTGATCCTCAATGTAGATGATGTTCTTCACCAACGGGCATTTGTCCAACAGGGTCTTGAACTTGGGCAGCAGATCATGCGACGTGATTACCGTGGTGACTTCCGTTTCGGTGATGCCTGTGGTAACAAGATTTTAATTGTTAATTTCGAAAATACTCCATATACTATATAGTGGTGTACTCACAGTGGGCCACGCCATCATCACCCAGGGTGGCATAGACGGTCACAATGGGCATTGCCTGCTTGAAGCAACCATGGGCAGCGATCATCCATTCGGCACGCGTCTCGGCAAAGATGACAATGTTCTCGCGTGGCTTCTGGCCCAGTTCGCGAAGACCGCGTCCAAAATTGGCTGCCGTACGTTCTGCTTCGGTGAACGTCTTCCACTTGTAGTCGCCCAGATTGTACTTCTTGAAAACGCGTCCATTCTGCTGCACCTCGTCCTCCTCGCTGAGGATTTGACGAGTGCCCAGGCATCGCTTCGACGTGTACGTCTTGGCCACATAGTTAAAGACCTTTTCCAGCGTATCAATGTTCTCCTGCAGCATCTTCACGTGGACATCACGCGGTGGATCCGTAGTCCGGTAGGTCAGCTCATTGTCATCGTTCGTTATGATCTTTGCCTGAAAGCGTAAGTGTGGCGATTAGTTTAATTTCGTGTCAGGGGGTGCTGGCGGCGCGATTTGCAAAATCAAAATCAACGCCAGATTAGAGGGGGAGTAGAGTCCACAGAGAGAGGGAGGGAGAGATAACAGACATGTGAGTTTAAATTTATTTTTTCGAGGGTTTGTCGAGGTGAGGGCCACAACTTGGGAGATCATGTTTCGTGGACCAACACCAAAGATAGAGTAGTCTCCAAAACAGGGAAACCAACAACGGAGTACGTACGATCACCAGTCCTTTTGGAACATTTATAGTGCTTGTGAGTGTATGTGTGGTATGGGGTGCCCCAGTGTGTGTGTTGTGTTGTGGTGTGGTGTAGTGTAAGTGTACGTGAGCGTTCCATAACAAACATTATTACTAAGGGGAATTAAAAACACATTTGCAAAAGTTAAACCTCAATGTCATCCGGCGCGTACTTGGACTCATCGACCAACATTTTGTGGTTAATTAGCTTGGCCTGTTGAGGAAGGAGGAGGAGTTGAGATGAGAACCGAGTTTAAGCATGATTTTCAGCTGTGGAATATCCTATTCAATTCCTTTTCCCTGGTCACTTTTTTGCCCTTGCAAGTTCTTGGGCAAACATAATTGTTTATAAACTTTATAGTTCACCATATAATGATGCATGTCGACGGCGTAGTTTCCCGTCTTAACCCATAAACCTTATCACAAAACCAACCAAAATCGCTCCATTTAGATAGCGGCGATAGAAACGCGTCAGATATCAACGTAGTTCCTCGACTGTAACTATTTCAAAGCATGAGTTTTTTAGTTGTTTTTGACCTAAACTTTTCAGAGGGAATATTGCCTAAGTAAAGACAGGTGAAATGGCAAGGCACCGAGCACAGCTAAATTAATAAACTCTTTTACTATACAAATCTCTCTGATTTACTTGAATCAAAGGTTCCGACAACATTAAAATCACTTGCATTATATTCAAACTGCACAATTCTCTTATCAGAGACCACCTGGACATCGTTGGGCATATATGGCCTGACACAACCTGTGCAATAATCACATATATAACCATGATTTCGGCTGTCAATATACATATATGCCCGAAAGCAAGGAAATCGTTGCGGCTAATTGTCGCATAAAAGAGCGAATCCCTGATAAAGACCACACGGAAAGCGAGCGGATAGATAGGAACAAAATAGGTGAACCTGGTCAATAAATCAAAAGTCGTCGGGCGGCACACACATACACTGATTATTGGGAAACAATTGAGAAGCTCGGAGGAGAGATAGGTGCCAGGGCCTGGCAAAAGTTTCAAGGTGAAGAACAAGGCGGGCCCGAGGAAAATTAAAAGTTAAATCTAGCTGATAGCTGATGTGTGCAGTTTTCAACTAATAAATGAATATATATATGTATATTTAGGAATATATAACTATAGCATGCGATTGTGGCCAGGTCTATATGTACTTTGGAACGGCCAGTGCAAAGTCGAAAGTATATTCTCAACGGCACATGATTCTAGAGATAGTTACACAGTCGTCGTAGCTTATAGGTCCGCCTCAGAAAGGGACTCTCCCCACTCACCTTCACCCGGCGCGAGTCCTGCCGGCGTTTCCAGGGCTTTTGGAATACCAAATAGACCGGCAGCGTGATGATGTCGTACATGAAGGCAATCGCCTTGATCGCGCCAATTGCGCTCTGCACCCAGAAGCTATCCATTCTGTAAGAAAAATGCAATCAAAAATACAAATTAGTGGCCGGCCAATTGGATATGTAAATGTTCGAGCAGAAGTTCAGCTCACAACTATTGCTTTTTCCCACACATCGCGTATACGCCCGATCGGCGGCACCCCAAATGCAACCCACCCACTCGTTGTGGCGCTGTCGCAAGCCGAAAACCAACTGATATCACCACCTGTTGCTGCTGCCACTGGTTAGCAGTTAGCAGCGGGTCTTGCAAGTCCGAAAGCGGAAAAAGGGGTTGCCACTCTCCGCTCGTTCCGCTCAAATCGGTTCTCGCTCAGAAAACGCTTTTCGAACAGCCAACCGATAAGAGCTCTGGGAGAGCGGCACTCTATAAAGGGGTATAGTTGCTTTTGTTATCAGCACCGAGATTGCTCGTAGGCAATGATTCCCTTCCTCAAGAAGGAACTAGGGCTACTTGTAATGGAAGTGCGGACTGGACTTAATCTGAAACTACTTTCAAACGACTTAAGTGTGCCAGTAATCAAGGATAACAGCCATATTTCATTCATCATCGATCGAGTAATCTTTACGATGTGAAATACTTGACAAAAATCCAATCCAAATTTATGGTACGTTCTATTTTACAAAAAATTTTACAACGAACAAAGTCCCATTTGTCGGTTAGTCATTTGTTAAATAAATCACAAAACATAGTTATCTCTCACTTGACAATAACCAAAAAAGAAATACCCAAAAATATCAAAAGTCTCACGTTGTTTTAGCACTTCCATTTTCAGACTCGCGCCAACTTCTTATCACGTTTTTTTTCTTTTTTGTTAATTTATAATTAAATTTAGGGAAAGATCTAGTGCCAAATATATTGAAGAAATTTTTTTCCTTATTAGAATTTTGATCGCTTGAGCCCAGGACACTAGATAATCGTATCATTGCAAATATTAATTAATTAAAAATACTGAATTTTATTTAGACTCGGACTAGTTATTAATAAAATCATAATTGCTCCTCCGCATAGCTCTGGTTTGTCGCTCCACTGGCAGACTTATCATTACAACTAATCATGCTACCATATAGACGGGCTTTAATTGCAGTGGCGATCACAAAACGGTTTGCCGATTTCTATAATCCCCCAGAAGACCGCTGCACACTTGATAAAGTCATCTTGAGCTGTACTAACTAACTGATAAGCAAATCGAACGACAGCCTTGAACTTGGATTGCGCAAGTGGGCATGACGTCAATATAGAGCTCATTGGGGGAAGAGAGCTCTGAAAGGTTGCTGCATGTCATTGGGAATTTTTTATTTTTTTAGCCGATAAAGTGCAAATGCTATGGGTGAGTTTCTATATAATAACGGCTAGGGAAGTTAATGATTGTTCATTTTCCAGGAAATTATGTAAAATTTAAATGGCTCATTAAGCAATGTCGATGGCTTGCACAAAGCTATATAGCAATAATTATAAATTTACTTACTGGAATGTATAGCAACTGGTTTAGTTTAGATTTGAATAATTGCATTTTTATAAAGAAATTATTATGATTAAAAAGTGAGAAGCTTGCTTTAAATACAATAGTATTATAATCTTGTGAAATTAATGTATCATCATTAAAAGTATTCTTTGAAACTGTGCGTTAAGTTGTCTAAAACTTGGATTAATCTTTTGAAAGATGTTGTAAATAAGGTTCCCCTCATCAAAATTCTTCTAAAAAGCATTATTTTCAGTTATACTGTCTTTTAATATATTCTTTACTCTTTACCCAACACCAAAATATATCCAAAACCAACACTGAGCTAACACTAGGTGAAGTTACTCATGGAATACGAATAAAGCAAACATATGTAGAATTAAAATAATCAACAGATAGTTTAAAATCTTGTACTTACTGCGCATCATCTTCGATGAACATCTTGATGCTGGTTTTCTCTTTGTCCGATTGCTATATATAGCTTTTGAGATCTCTGGAGATGATATACTCCTTTTTGGATGATAAAATCCTCCGATTTTTACCGAGCTGGATGAGTAGCTTAGCCTAGCTCTGATTGATGGCAAGGACGAACAAGGACAATGGATGCAACAAGAAAACGATGATGTCTGGTAATGTCCTCGCTATGTGTTGGTCTGTGCGACGTTTTCACCTGCAACCGGAAATATAACGAATATATGCATTTTTAATGTAGTGACAATGAGGGGAAAAGACAACAAAGTGAGGTCAAAGGAACAGCGAGAAAAGCACAAACATTGGCTTAAATTGGGAAAATCTCCAGCAACCAACACCATTTGATGGCTTAACAACAGATAACTTAATCAAAACAATACACAAAAATTAATTAAATATATTTTATAAAACGATAAAGGCAATATTCCAATTAAGTTCTTAAAATAGATAAATCCAATCGAGTCGCGAGCGTAAATATTATTTCAATTAGGCAACATTAGTTCTCTGGCCTTCATGGATATTCTAATCAAATCATAAACTGAAAACCAAACAAGTTTCTGTTACGTCTTGGGTTTTTTCTGGATAAATGCCAGATATACGCTGATATTATAGAAAACAAAGAAAGGCACATCGAGTAAAAGAGAGATAATGTCAACAGAGAAAGGTGGATATATGTATAGCGTAAGTATAAAATTAGACAAGTTCTAAAAGAAAAGCAAGAGCTAGTTGTTGCATAATCATTTTATCTGCTATCAAGAGAGAGTAAATCTCTCTACCAGTCTCTCTCTTAAGATTTGTTTTAATAGAGAAACATTGTCATAGGTCGGAAACCACACAAAATTCTTTGGCATTAGCTTACAAAACTTACAGAGAACCATTTTCTAGCTTTGTTTATCGTAATATGTCGATGGTGGCACGAATCAAAGTCCGGCAGACCAAGGTTTATCCGTCTGAAAGCCGATATCGAAATGGTTTCTTAAGAATCTGCCGTCACTGATAAACAATAAATAACCGAATTCCCCGCTATCCAAAGTCCGCTCTCCTTATGCAATCACTGAAAAGTCGCAAAACCATGTGATGTGCGGGTGATACTCTATATAAAGTGTGCACAAATGTAAAACTCCGTTTCAGTCGGTGGCATCGATGTCGGTGGAGTGCATTGAACTGGCCCAAAAAAAATAATACACATCTTCGGCTCGGATATACATCCCCTGACATATGGCGAAAACTCAACGCTGAAGAGCCCCAAATCGTAAACGTGGTGAATACGTGTTTTGTTTGCGAAGAAAGAGAATATGAAAACATAACGATAACAGCGAAAACAACAACAAAATTCGGCATTTAAATATTTGCAAAACACAGTCAAGTTAGCAAAACAATATGCACAGTGGGTTCATAGCAAGTTTTTATACCCTTTCACGGTATAACAATTTGTAACGGTGTGGAAAAAGCATTTCCGACCCTATGAATCTGATAATATATTCTTCATCAGCAACAACAGCCAAGTCGATCTAGCCATCTCAGGCTGAAAAAGTACGACTTTAAACAAACTTCTTTCAAACTTCAATTTGTTGAAATAATATTCATATTTAAGTCGATAAATTAAGATTCAAGCAATGCAAATATTTTAATACGATATGATCTTATAATTGCAAACTGCAAGGGTATATAAACTTCGGCTTCGCCAAGTTAGTTTCCTTTCGTATAATATATATATATAATATATAATGTTATATCAGAAAAACTTGGTAAAGTATTTAACCCAAACCTAACCTATCAAAATCTTACTATAACTATATTGATTTTATTTCTCATGTTCTCTTATTATTTTATTTCAAAGCCCAAACACTCATTTCCATAGTTCAATAAGCACTGTGCAAAGTTCAAAGCATTTGAGTGGCGCAAACATGAGCGAAAGTTGTTTCGCGGCCATTGCAGGTTAATGAATGAAAATTTCATGAAAATACATATCTTTGTTTAGCTCAGAGTTTCATATCCACCTGTTGACTATAGGTTTTGATCGCATTTCTGTTAAGATCTTGAACCCTGATCACAGTTGGACAAAAAGATACACAAAGTTCGCTTCGAACGAGATCACTCCCAGTGGCGTGTGTTGAGAACAAAGGTTATTATGCCCGGGAGAAGTAATCACGGTCCGCTTGGATGAGGAAATTGTACACATTAAGCCCGATGATTACTGTAATCCGTACTCTGGTCTGCCGTTGGCTGCTGCTCTGAGAACTGATTGAATCAGATCCGATTCATAAGCCTAAACGAAGCGGTTAGATAAAGCACACACGTCGTATGCGTAATGTCTTACAGCGAACACTTTCAACCCGTGCAAAGGTCAAAAGTGATCGGACGACGACACAAACAAACACTTTGTGTTGACCGTAAAAAAGAAGGCAATTTAAAACAAAATTAGCATACAAAAAATGTCTATATATAGACATCGTTAAAATGGCATTTCTGAAACTAGATTTTTCGGCTATTAAACTTGAATTTATGGAATGTAGGAATATATTGATAAATTGCAAACATTATTTCACAATTAGAAGTTTTTATGGGGTTAGATATTCTGATAATTGCTTTGCTAAAATGCAATTTGAAAATTCGAGTTGTGCAAACTGTTTATACATGGTTATTAAATATATAACAGTATCATAAAGATATAATGTTTAACTTTATTATATGTTTAAAGAAATATAAGAGCTGAGGTGTATTTTTAAGGACTTCGATTAGTTGAATTGCCTCAAAAACAAAATACCTGAAGAAATTAAGGTTTCAGTTAATTTTTGGTCTTAAATGCATTTCAGCTCTCCTTCAGCTAATTGCACATTACAACCAATTAATTGTAATTTTAGGGTGAAACTCGCCTAATTGTTTAAAAAACAATGGCTGGCATTAATTACAGTTGGCAAAAGGCAGTAGTCACCTATAACTGTTTGTTAACTAAAAGCACACAACGAGCTCTTTCCAATTTCGTTATTGAATGCTATTATTATGCATTTTCCGCTACTTTTGTGTGTGCATTGCACAACAAGCTGCTTGAAAAACATTGAACAAACGAACCCACGTTATGCTTGATTGAATCAAAAACAAAATCAGATGGAAAAAAGAAATAGAGTCCCCTAAAACTCGAACTTGACTAAGCCTAGTTTGCAATAAGGGATTCGCTATCAAAATCAGCTGTCAAAGTCCATGATTTAAGTTTCAAGTTCGCGTGAGGCATTACGAAATCGCCGAGCAATGCCAAAAATCGACTCATTCCACATTAATTGTACGTCGAGAATGGCAACAAGAGTATATACAGACGTAGTTAAAGAGATATGTATATCTATCTATCCAGAACACGTCATCAGTAATGCAGAGAGAAACGTGTCCACTTACGTGGTCTTAATTTCTGCTTTACTTGTATACTATAAATACATATCTCACTTCACTGTGAAGTTGCGCAGTAAGTAAGTAAGTAAGGTGACTCAGGTTGTGACTTTACTGTTTGGGTTTACGTGTTTTTTTGACTTCAGTTTTAAGCACCTGAAAAAGTTCAATTCTCACGCCATCAGCTGTTTAGTTTGTTTACAATATAAAAAGAAAATGCGACAATCAGCGCACTTGCATAAATATTTTCAATTGTCTGTCGACCGGTTACTTGAACTTTGGTCAAGGTGGTGTCGGGTTGTCTCGTTGGGGAAATTGTAACGGGAAATTATTCATCACCTGATTGCCTTGACATTGAACGAAGTGGGAAAAGTGAGAACGCGTTGTTATAATATGCACGTAGTACAAAATCCAAATGAAATTGCAGCATTTGATTTATTTATTTCCATGCGAGCGAACATTACGTGAGTGTCTGCGAGTCTCCCTCGATCGGTCGAGCGTTTGTTCTCGGACGAATAATGGGGTAACAAAATCATCGTATGACTGTGTCAAAGTCCAAAATAAAAATACTTTTTTTGCAGTCGCAGTACACACATAAAAACGAGAAAAACTTACTCAAACGAGATTGAAATATAAAAACAACAAAAAGAATGCACATGAAGAAAAATTATTCAAACATTTTAAACGGTAATTTAATATATAAATAAAATGATATTAAATGAGGGGGATTCATTTTAAGCTGATGTTATAGTATCAAAATCATATATTTTAACAATAAATTAAAGATCATTTGATTGAACAATCGTAGCTCATTTGTAATTTGATAATTTTTGTTATTAAGTTATTAAGCAAATATTTTAAGCTTAGTTATGATTGATTTCCGATTCCATCCTATAATTCAATTGCAAAATGGAAGGGTATATAAACTTTGAATTTCCAAAGTTAGTTTCCGTTTTTGTTTATAATGTCTTCGGTTTTTAAAATATTCAAGTTATTCTCACGGTGTGACCGCAACAGCATCAGCAAGCAAGTGAGAACAACTTTTTGCACGGGGCGTTGAATATTTCATTGAATGAAAACGAGAAAGAGTAACAAACATGCAAAACAAACAAACGAAAGATCGTGTGTTTGGTGTGTGAGTGTGTGTGTGGGCGTGAGGCGGAGGCAAACTGAAAATAAATTTGATTATGGTCACAGAGAAAGAATGACAGAGACAGCGAGATACACCCACACACTCTCCGAGAGAAAGAAAGATCGAAAGCTCTCTTTTGCACTCGCTCATTTTCGAGTTTGCCGTCCGAATATATATTTTCGAGATATGTAAATGGGTCTGTGTGAAAGTAAGGCAGCAGTCGCGTAGCGTAGCTAAAATAAATGACCTAGACAAGCGTACTTATCTTTAGAGTGACCATCAACCGGAGAGCACGTGCTCGAGTGAAATTTTCCAGAGGAAAAACAGTAAAGCACAAAACAAACGGAACACGGCGCTTTGGCAATGATCATGAGCGGCGCAGTAGCAGCAAAAGCAAAAAGCCCGGTTTAATCGAAACCGGTTAGAAAATCAACCAAAGTCATGACTAAAACAAACACAAATAATGCTCATACGATCCCAGGGGCTCACCTTAAGGGGGTTTAACTAGTTATAGCTCTATCTTTTAGCTTTCTGTGGTAAGTGTCTCCCTTTTTTGAAAGCCTCTGCACCTCTACATACATTCTTGTTTTCTAAACCTGCCAAACATAGAACTTTTTGGTAGAAAATATCGTTACCATGACAACCAGAAATAGAAACAGGAATCAAGGCAAAGTTTAAACAGTTAAAAAGAGCTATTGAAATACACTCTTGGATTAAGCAGCATTTTAACACAACAAAAAAGCCCCCTTTTATAAAAAATCAAAATAGCTTTAATTTCGATTTATTTCCTTTCAATGTTCGCATCACCTTAAAAGAATTTTTCTCGGACTTTGCAAAATATAAATCGAAACTCAACCTCGTCGAATCTGTAATTGCAAAAGGAAAGGGTGACGGGGCAAATAGAGAAGCAGCTGTTGCATTGGTCGAACTGAAGCCAAAATATAACGGTTAAGTTAAGTACGGGCAAACTGCCAAATCGGGGGTTGGGCAACAGGCCGATTACAGAATGTCATTTACAACTCGAAAAAACAGTGGCAGCTGAAAAGGGGTGGCAGTGGGCGGGGGGTGGGTTCAGACTTCAGTCGCCCAGACATCGCGTGACTATTTTTGACATAGCGTCCAACTAGTGCAATAGAAAAAGGGAGAGCGAGAGCAAGAGGGAGATAGAGAGAACGTAGGGAATGGAAAAAGAAAATCAGCAACTGCATCTACACGGGAAAAAATAATCCAATATTGAAAATTTAAATCTTAAAAAAAGCGTAAAATACTCATAAATACTTGGAAGTTTGTTTTGTATTAAATTAAATTATATTACAGATCTAAATTAATAATTGTTCATATTTAATATATATTTTTACCAGTTATTTGCAAGACCTTAACGAACTTTAAGGAATAAATAAAAAAAAGATTACAACTTATTTTTAAGCAAATCAACCCAAGTATCACTCTTGATTTTGCCAAGTGTAGCGCTGTGAAAAGTCACGAGGCGCCGGGCCAAAGGGATGGAGGTGCGGGGGTAACGCAGTGGGTTGGCTGGGTGGCAAGCGGCAAGCAATGTGGCACGTTTTCCTTGGTTATACCAGCTGAAAATCGTACGAGTTTCAGGGGAAATGTTGCCGCCGCCGTGAAGCTTAAAACAAAGTACAAGAATAATGCGGCGAAGAGAAGCAGAGAGACAAGAGCGCAGCTGAGAGAGCCGGTTGCACACGTATGTATGTCTGTGTGTACGAGTACTGTACTTGTGGGTTCAGGGCGAAGAGTAACGACCCAGAGAAAGAGAGTGAGGTCTCGCAAGAGTCCAAGAGAGTAGGGGCAAAGTGAAAAGGTCAAAGAGCAAATTGTTTACACGAAGGCAACCGCACACTGAGAGGCGGGTGGCAAAGTGGGCGGTCTGGCCATGAATGAAAGCTGAGACCGGCAAACGCGGTAGAACTGTGGGAGGGGGTGGTGTTGCAGGTAACAGAACAATGGGCGTTGTACCTCCCACAAGACGTTCTATTTATTGCTGCAATTTGGTTCTAATAAGCCGGACTTAATGGAGACTCTTTTATAAAAAGAAAGCCTTAAAAATAGGAACCAAGTACTAAGGTTTTAGCTCTTAAGGTTGTTGTATTAGAGCCTTGAGCTTTAAATATGTATTTTTCGCCATTTCCTTTAGAATTTAAACTTTTTCTTTATTTTTATTAGCTTAACTTAAAAAAATAACTAAACGTGGTTTATGCACGAAAGTTACAGAAGTTGTGTAGATTTGAAATCATACTTTGCATACTTTTAAAATTAAATTAAACATTTTATTTACTTGATATTAATCTGGAATTAAGGCATTCCATAGAAAGTATTTTTTGATTATATCTTTAAATTCCTATTGGTAGACTATTTATACTAGTATATTGCTGTGACAACAAATATAACATACTGTTATGTATTATAATCAATAAACAAATTTACAATTTACTGGGAATACTTGGGTATTTTTCCCTTAAGACTCTTGCAACACTTTTTTGAGTTCCATCTTAATTCATTAAACTGTGTAAACATGGCTCTAAGTATGTTTTGATAATTTTTTTTCGGATTTTTCACCACGAACATTAAAGGTACTCAAGTGACTAGATTACTTGGCCGGTTCTTTCAGATAGTTTTGAGCATATCATCGTGATTTTACCATTTTTAAGGCCCAAACCCCATATCACCCGGAATCGGTTGACTTATAAAACCTGCACGTAACTCCGCCACTTCTCTGGGGTTTATCTATTCCGGCTGACGGTTTAAATCACTGATGAACTTTTGATATATGTATAAAAAGTAGCTACTGCCAGTTTGCGAGTCCCGAGCGATATGGCCGTTATTAAGTGCCACCGTTTGAGGCGTATTTCCGGCCAAAGCACAAGCCGCGCCCTAGAAACAAAAGCGTGGCATGAAAAGTGCAATTCGCCCACCTCCCCAGAACACACACACACCAATTCGTCGCTCAGCTGGTCGCAAGGAATCAAGAACAGATGACGCACACGCACACCCATGCAGATGACCCCGAACTGGAAGAACCCCTGCCCGCCCCACCCACTGGAGGCGCCCACAAGCTCGAGACAGAAACTCGCATGATTTTCAGTTGGTATAACATATCCAGCGGCTGCCAAAGCGGGAGGGCACAAGAGAGATAACATGCGGCGGAGAGAGTTTGCGCAGAAAGCAGTTACAAGAAATTTACACGTGCAACCGGAGAGAGCAAGAGAAAGAGGAAAAAATCATCTGGAGAAAGACAAAGGAAGAGAGAGCGTGTGAGAATAGCTTTGTTTATGTGCGTAGATTTTGAATTGGCTCTTTCTCTCTCTCTCTTTCACACGTTTAATTAGAATTTAAACTGCTTCGGGCAAGAATGCAATTAACAGGTTATAAAAATAACGGTACACCGAGAATTTCAAAATACGGTCAAGTCCCCCCCCAAAGAGATCATATAATCTGGGCGCAGCACCTAAAAAAACTATCATGTGAAGGAATTTTACACGATTGCAAACTACATTTATTTTAACATTTTTGAAAATTAACTTTGGTGTCACATTAAGTTTTCCAAGAGTATTTTTGAACATGAATAAAATTTTACCATAGTGCAATAGATTTTTAAGACTATCCAGAAATATCTAACTAAATAGTTGAAGTTTTAAATCCATTGCAAATTGGCATATTTTAGCGTAACATTTTGTAGCATTTTCAGAAGCTTTTTAAATTGATTTGAAATCTACAGAAAGATCCTAGGATTTTAAAATCTTTGGTCATATCTTATAAATGTATAAAAATCTTGACCTTTATTGTTTTCCTTTTAGGTATATATTTTATAATCTCTTTAGTTTGATGATTTGCGTCGTAATTATTCTACCAAGATCAAGGCAGTATTTCATATTTTTTTGTAATTTACAGCCTCTTGAAGGTCTTAACGATAAGGCTGGCTCACAAGCTATTTCTTATTAAGAATGCAATTTTTTTAAGTTTTAATTTTGCTATGGACGATAATTTATTTAATAATTTATTACTCGTTATAATACTATATTTTATTGCCAGGTTTACCATATTATTACTGTTTTAGTTAAAGTGGAGAAATATGACACATTTAAGAACCTTTGAAGTCTTAGTTTTAGAACTTATTCGCTTATTTAAGATTTAAATTAAATACCTATTTAAGATATGACAACCTCAAGAAGTGGACTTTGAATCTAAAGCTTAATGAAGTACCCCTTACTTTGGTAATTTAATGCTATAACAATAATAATCAATATCGAAATGCCCTGATATCGAGTGGCGAAAGCCTTAGTTGGTTTTTTTTCTGACGAAATAAACAATCGATAGCCAAAACAAACAAATGGACAGCCGTTGCATAAGGCAAACAAAGTGCAATTGCACTTTACACTCTACATTTGAAACTGGGTCAGCGGAAGGCTGTTGATTCCACCTCCTAGAAATAAATCGTAAGACTCGAGCTAAACTCATTAGGCAAATTGCAAGCGTCATTGATAAGGTGGCGCGACATTGCGGAAAACAATAAAAGAACTAAAAATTAAACGTACAATAAAAAAAATAAGGGGGTAAGCCGGCAGAAGAGAGAGCAAAAAGAGAAGCATAGCCCAAGCAGCTAAGAGCATTACGTGTGACTTGAACTTACCTTTGCCGGAGAAGAGCCCTGCTCGCTTCTCAGTTCTGGGACGGCACAAGCGGGTTGAAACGCACATGTAAGAATTCCAGAATAAAATACGAGAAAATCAGACAAACGCAGCAAATACTATATATCGCCGATTATATAAAATGACGTTTTGCCAATAAGAACGCACGCATACGCACAAACCGACGGCACTGCACAAACACTAGCACACACACGTAACGTCAGCGCCAGCATAAAATGTTGCGTTGGCGTCAACACGTTTTTCCCCCCCCACTCCTTCGTTCTCAAATTCTCGTCTTCTTCAACGTTTTTTTATATTTAGAGTGTGTGTTGCGCTTTAATTGATAAAACTTTCGCAAAACTTTCACAAAACTGCACAATTGCCACTCAAACAAACGGGGCACATGTGTGCGTGTATTTTTAGGTGTATGTTTGTGTGAGTGTTTTTATCACGCCACTCGGAAAGCACTTTTCTACTTACACACACACAATCTCGCACACACAACACGCTCAAGGAGGTGTTTCAAAACTGCGTTTTAAAGTTGTTGTTTTTGCTGTTTTGTCTAGCTCGGTGCCCGCATGAAAAAATAACGGAAATTGCGACACAACGTTCTGATTTACGCGCTACCGCAAAAGTATCTAGTGAAAGACCGATTTTGATTTGGAACGAAAAACGTTTGTCGCCGTTACGTTTGTTGCTTCCTATATTTATAGGCTTCGCTCTCTTTTTCTTCGGCCTTCGCTCTCAGAGTTTCAAAGCAAAAGAGAGTGCCGCTCTCCGCCCAATTTCATGGACGCTTGGTTTTGTTGCTGTTTTCGCGTTTTATTCGCCTTCTCCTTTCTCTCGCTCTCCCATGAATTCGCCCGCTCACACACATACACACACACACCGCCGCGTGGTAAATGCCGATGTTGACTTTGTGCTTGTTTTTGTTATTGCTGCTACTGGTGGCATTTTTATTAAACTGATTGATTTGTGCAATGCACCGGCCGTCCACTTACTCGCATGATGTCTTGATACGCTTATTTCGCTGATTTTCCGCCAGTTTTCGTTATTCCACGGTTTATTCAGGTATTTTCATGTTTTCATTAGGGCTGTCGAAAATATATCAAAATATCAAACTATCGATATATTTATATCGTGATATTTTGCTTTCCCAAATATCGATGTTGCGATATTTTTTTGAAAATATGTTTTTATATTTTTTAAGATAGTATGAATGTCATGAATTGACCATAAGAGTAGCTTATGTTGCAAGTATTTTGATTACGGTTGTTAAAAATAAATCAAAATATATATCGATATATCAAGGTGCAGAATTGCAGTGTGATTGTTTCGAATTTATTAATATACGCCAAAAGATTTGATAGAGAAGAAAGTTTTCTCCCATCCTTAGAAGTTGGTCACACTATTAAGAGCTTAAATAATTTAATACAGGTAATATAATTAAGATCTAATGCAACTTTAATTTCTGGTGCATTGAGTACTTGAATACTAAATATGTCAAGGGACTTGGAATTTTACAAAGAACATCAAAACACTGCCAAATATTTACTGAATACTTAAACCTTGCGAAAGAACATTGATTGGAATTTAAAGTGAGTTATAAGAAGTCAACTGTCGAATTTGATTTTATTTTATGTTTCTTTGGCTATATTAAAATATATTTTGTTAAATCCTTATCTAACTTAGTGCCATTTGGAACAATTTTCGTGTTAATTAGCTCATTTTAAAAGGTCGTTACATGGTTTGAAATGCAATGCTACCAGACTTTTTTAAAGAGATTGGTCAGAGCTGCCATACTTTGCTAGGATGGCGTACAGCGAAATCTATCGAAAAGTGCAGTGTTGTAATTTGTACATTTGTAACGTTTCTTTGATTTTAAAAATTTGTTAATAAAGATTTTTCTTTGAAGAATGTGTGTTTTTTAATTAATAAATGATTTTATAAGAAAGAAATGGAAAATTATTAGAAGTAAATATAGAATCAAATTTCATGTTTCCACACTTAAAAAAAAATCCTAGGAGAATATTAAAGGTAAATGCAGTTGTATTTCGCTTTTAAAAAACTGTATAGTATATATTTTTATTTAAAAAAAAGACAGTCAGTCTTTGTGCAACAAATGTACATGAATAAATGCCGCGTTTACACAATCGTTCAATCATTCCATTGTTTTTTTTTATATTTATATATTTTCAATCATTATTATTTATACTCTCTTTTTTGTTTTGGTTGTAAGTACCGTTTTAAGGGGAGCAGGTGGATAAGTAATAGTAATTAATTTTTCTCTCGTTCCTTTCGTTTTCGTTTCCGTTTAAGCGATACTATTTTGGTTCAAGTCCTTGTGTTTTTATGTACATATTTAAACTAAATTACGCGCTACAAATTACTAGTGTGTGTGTTTGTGTTTTGTGTTTTTTGTGCTTTGAATCTCGCTTTGAGTTGTATGTAAGTACAGAGTGTGCGTTTCGTGTGAGTGTGTGTTTCGTGTTACAATAAATATCTCTAAGTTTAAGTATTTCTTAGATGCTAAGGATACATACATACAAGCTGCTAGGCAGGGGGCGTGACATAGGGAGCAGGGCTAAGAGGAGGGTGTGGCTGGGGGACGGGAATGCAGCTGCTACAAAATATCGGAATTTTCAGTTTTTGGGAAATTAACTAACATGCATACACACATATACATACACGCTGGGTCCTAGCAGGATATTCATATTCATGGAGTTTCTTTCTTTTCTTTTTAGTATTGATTGATTTATAGCCCCTTTTAAAGGTCTATAAGTATTAATTAAAGAAATCTACAAGTTAATTGGGTATTTTACAACTTGAAATTGATCATTGATCATCTTTTTTCAAAGATTTTAGGTTGAATTAAATTGAAATTCTATTTGAAATTAAACTCACGTCTTGTTTAAATATTTTAAAACTGAATTTTACAACTCAAAATGCTGATATTCTGATTAAATTACAGATTTTTATAGAATTGAAATGGTATCCCTCCAACTTTCCCATCAACTCCATGAAACTTCAATCCCGCACGGACCTGCTGGACAAACCGATTATATAGATACAGATACAATTACAGATACAGATACATTTAGAGTTAAGGCTTAGGACTAAGGCTTACAGCTAACGGGCTAATGGCTACAGGAACTAGTGCTAGTGCTAACTCGTAAAGTTATAGCTGCGCACCGCCCGGCCGGGCGTCACCAGCTCCACCTTGATGTTGGCCGTGGCCGTCACCTTGGTGGTGTTACTGTCCGAGTGCGTCGTCTCCACCGTCACCTCCGGCTGCACCACAATGCTCTGCAGTTCCGGCGGATATACCGTCGCCGCCGGAAACGGAGGCGGTGGCTGTTGATGCTGATGCTGATGCTGATGCTGCTGCTGCTGCTGCTGGGGGTGCGGGTGGGGATGCGGATGCTGGGCGGCTGCCTTGTGATAGGCGGGTGGCGGTGCCGCATAGGAGGCGGGTCGGGAATCCCTGCCTCCCGCACCGCCTCCACCATGATAGCCACCATAGTTGGGGAGCGGTGCATTCCAGTCGTTGGGCATTTGAATGGACGAATTGCTGGACTTCCAGGACTGCGGCTCCTCGGTGATTGTGGTCAGCGATGGATCATTCACATCCTTGTAGTTGTGGTGGTGATGGGACTTGCAGCTGCCTCGGGATGATCGAGATCCCTGCACCACATAGGACTTGCCGGAACGCTTGCTGCTCCTCACCGGCAGCGGCGAGGGTGTGGATATCCGATCGGGATGCTCCAGCGGCACTAGCTCCGCCTCCGGACCGAGCATGCTCAGCAGGATGGGGAACACCACCAGGCTGTTGCAGGCACCCACGCAGAGCACCACGAGCAACAGCCAACAGAAGTGCCGGATCACAAACTCAAATGGCGATGTGGAGAGCATGAAGACCGCCACTCCAGAGGTCAGCATGCCATGGACCAGCGGGCCCAAGGACATTTGCATGCTCAGCTGAACTCGACGCTGACGATTGCCCACGGAGGTCATGAAGCCCTATGGATAAAATTAAGTTAAGAACTGGAAAAATCATAAAGCCGCTTTGAACTCACCAGTGATATCAGCACATTGAAGCACAGCATCATGCCCACGCTGAGGATGAGTATGACGGCGGGTATGGCCGAGAGCTTAATGCCCAGCAAGGTCATGGCCCCAAAGATCTGGGCCAGTGAGGCCAGAACACTGAGGATCACCAGGAAGGCGGCCCAAACGGAGAGCAGCAGCAGGGAGACCAATACCAAAGCAGCTAGGAAAACGCAGGCCAGGATCATGGCCAAGGATGATCGCAGGGTCATGTACTGCTCCCAGAAGATGAAAGGAATTCCTGAGAAGAGACAGTAAGGATTAGAGGGGGATCCTGAGATGGATTTGATTTAGCAAGCTTACCCGAGGGATAGTTGGGCAGTCCGAAGCCCTCGAACTTGACGCTCAGATCCCGAATGTGTCCAATCAAAGTCTTGATTTGCGAGGTATCCGTCAGTCCGTGCAGGTAAAATGGCATCTGGGCATAGACCAAGGGCAGGCTCTTGGGTATTTTCAGGTCGTATTCGGCGGGCTGATGGAAATACTGTCGAGGTTCGGGATAGAGTTTACCCTGGAAAAGATAATTTAATAATTAGTTTAAACTGGTAAAAAATATATTATCATCGGTAAAACTATCATATTAATACTTCTTAATAATAACTGAATAACTGTAACTTCTTTTGTAATCATTTAAAAATAAACACTCTTTTAGCTACCAACCTGAGAAGCTCCATAAGCAAAGACATCATTGGTGGCCCATGCTGAGAGATAGTTGTAGAATGCCTTGGGATTAATGATGCCATCGGAGTTGACCAGTCGGTTTGTGACCACCAAATCCTTATCCACTGGATTGTCCACGTGTCCCGTCTGCACGATGAGCTTGTAGGCCAGAATGGCATCACTGCTGGCATTGGGAAACCAGCACTCCTTGGTCAGCCTTCCATCTCGAATCTCCTCATCAAAGGTGTTTTGCAAATTGGTCAGCCATTCCCGGAAGAGTAGAAGCCAAAAGTCTGGTAATCCACCATTATCGTTCTTGATCACATGTGGCACTCGGACGAAGGAGTCATGGTAATCCCTTAGCAACTGCTGTTGCGTGGGATACTCAAAGTTGCCCTGGGTCACCGCGTACATGCTGTAGAATCCAAAGAGTCGCGTCTGGGCATCCAGGAACTTGTGCTCACTGCTGCTCTTGGGCACCAGGTCGATGATATCCAGGCCATCCTGCAGCCGGGTGGAGGCATACAAACTGGAGATTAAGGCAGCCAGGAAGCCCATCACAGCCAGGAACTTAACCCAGCTGCGCATGAGGAAGGGCGTGTAGTGCTCGAAGGCAAAGTTGGCCAGCGAAAAGGAGGCCAGTGAGTTGCTGCTTCCGACCGTCCGACCTCCAGCCTGCGTCCTCTGCTCCAGCAGGGGATTCTGTGCCGGCAATGGCACCCTGTTGTTGTTACAACCCTTCGGATGATGCCTGGTTCCTCTTCCGCCATTGTTGTTATTCAGGGCCAGACCTTGAGGAGGAGGTGCCACCTTGGGCTGCTCTTTCCAAACGGGAAAACAGCAGCAAAAGATGTCCGCTCGTCCGGCAGTGCGTCGTCGCAAATCCAGCGATATCATGGCAGGAAAAACCAGCAAAGCCGCCGCCAAATTGGAGCACATGACAATGGCAGCCTGCAGGCAGAAGACCTTGAGGGCAGGCACCGGAATGAAGGCAGCCGCAAAGAAGGATCCCGCCGTGCTGCAGGCACCAAAGAGGATGCTGGGACCCACTTTCTTCAGGATCAGCTTGGTCTGCTCCCGTCGATTGCTCTCTGCATAGGCAGCCGTCAGCATAAAGATGTGATCGACGCCCAGTCCCAGGGCCAAGAAAGGCACCACCTGAGTGCTGGCCGCATTGAAGACGATGCCCAGGAGGGCGCTCAAGCCCAGACCCGCTGCCGTGCTGAAGCACATGAGCAGGACACCGGCCACACCGACACTGCTCTGTCCCCGGACGGGATCCCGCCAGCGGAGGAGAGTGCAAAAGGCATATAGCACAGTGACTGCCACTCCAATCACAATGGACAAGGCGCTGGGATGCGAGAACTTGGCCAGGATGTCATCCAAAGCCGCCGAGCTGAACACATAGATGTCGTAGTTGGCCGAAATCCTTGACTGCTTGCGGAGTAGCTGCTCCACTTCCCGTGAGAAGTTGCGCTGCCAGGCATTGAGCACCTCGGCGGCCTTCTCCTGGGTCCATCCCAGATGATGTACCTTGTAGTTGTCATACCACTGATCGTACATCTCCTTCTCTGTCATCAGTTGCACCACCGTCTGCAGGGCCTGGGCCTTCCTCAAGTGTCCGCTGCGGTTCCGCTTTGCTCCACCCACAATTAGCTCCTCCGGCCAGTGCATGTACTTGGCCGCATAGCCGTAGCAGCCACCTGAGAGGATGGCACCCACATCCGGTGGCTGGCTGCTGTTCTTATTGGGCGCCGTATTGGGACAATTGGGGTTCTGTGGATTGAGGCAGGGTTTCTCCATGTAACCACTGCCAATGGCCGCCCGCTTCATGTACTGTTCGACGGTCTCAAAGTCGAAGCTGAGTTTCTGTTTCATGTATTGCATCACCGAGCTGGGATTCAGTGTGGTCCACAGCAGTCTTTGTTCAATGCCACTAGAGGAGAAGATAGTCACGGATTAGTTAGTGCATCGTAAAGATACTATATCTTATACTTACGGTATAACAACTGCTGATTCCGGTCCCAGAAGCTGACTGCCCTCCCAGAAGCAATCCAGCGGTGTGATAATCGAGCAAGGTATGAGATGACGCAGGATCTGCTCGACGTAGTAGGTGCCCTCGAAGGATGGCGCACTGGGCTTGTTGCACATGTCACGCAATCCCCATTCCGTGTCATACAGATGCACCTTGACGGCGGTGGCCTTGACCAGGACATCGAGATGCGCCAGTAGCGCCTGGGGATGCAGAACCGAGGCATTGGGATCATGCGTCGTCTGTATGAGCAGCTGATGTGTGGCAGACTCATCCTCGCCGATTGTCTTCTGTGTGTAGGCCAGCTCTGCCTCCAGGCGTCCGCCCTCTTGGATCCACAGCTGGTGAACCTTGGAGTGAATCTGGGCGCTCTTCAGACCAACGCAGAAGGTGCTCAGCACCAGGATTGCCACGAAGAGCACCTTGCCCGCATGCTTCTGCACGGAGCTGCCGAGGGTTTCGAGGTGGGACTGGAATACTGATCGCAGATAGATCGCTGTCCGGCTGCCACGCGCCTTGCCCTGCAAATAGTCAAAGGAATGCGCTTAGTTGTAGTTTGTTTCTGGTATTTTCTTAGCTTTTACTCTCTCTCTTTGAGTCTCAGTGATGCTGCCATAAACAAGACATTAAAATTATAACGAAACAGCGTGTGGCCACATTATTTATCCCTGCGACTTCCCCTGCATGGGCGTAGTTTTCACAGAATTCTTGAAATACTTCAATACTCTGGCCCCCTCTGTTGCCACGTCCATGCTCTTGGGGACCCCACCCAAGGCTCCAAATCCTGATCCAGAGCCTTGCGAACACAAAAACACAACACAAGACGCCGCTGTCGTCATTGGCGGGCCAAAAAAAGGAAAAATAAGAACCAAAAAAGACACAGGCAAACCTATAATCGCCTGCTTGGGCAATTGGATCGATCGCTGGCCGGGGCTTTGGGCCTGGCCGGCTCTACCCCTTTCCCATCCGCAGCTCATTTCGTGTCCCAGCTGCTGCCGCCGCTGCTGCTGCTGCAGTGCAGCACGGAAATTGAGCCCCTTTCCCGAAATAAAAAAAAAGGTATAAAAAAGAACGAGAACCATGAACAGAAAAAAGATAATAATGAGGCTCGCGCTAATGCTAACGTCTCAATCGAAGGTTTAGTTCAACAATCAGACAAACAGTGGAGCAAACTGTGGGGCAAATGAGGCGTTTTCAATGACCTACAAGTTAATCTGAGGGTTAAAGTTGGTACTAACAGGAGGTTATTTGCTAACCTTACAACATATTTTACAAGATTTTAACCGGGAGATAGCTTGTCAAATAACTTGTAATGTTATTTTTATGAAAATATCATAATTATATTAACCGCAGGTTATAAAGATGATCTGAAAACCATTCATGATATTTTTTAAGCTTAAATTAGTAAGTTTATTAAAATCTGAAGGGTTAATCAATAACTGAAAGGTTAACTGACATGACTTTTGACTTTTGATGATACTTAATACATTTATAATCAGATATTTTAAATCGTGGATAAATATTTTTATTATTAACCATCATTAATCAGAGGTTAAACAGTAGCATTGTGGTACAAGTTAATACATCTAGAAGCTGATTTGTAAATTGTATATCAATTTCTATATTAAAATACCACCATTAACCGGTGGTTTACAAGGCAGGAAACTTTTGGTGGATGCTAAATTTGTTAACCTCCGGTTAAATCACATAATGTCTAACTTTTAAAGACCTTTATCTGAATGTCATCATTCATTAGATCTAAAGAAACGTGGTCTTAGAGTCACTTTAAATTTTAAACGACACAAGTAAAATGATTATAATTTTAACCAAAGGTTAAATATCCCTTTAAAACAAGAAACCCCTCACTTAACCCACTGTGCCCCACAGCAAACGGCACACCCAGCAATGTCGGGGGATCGAGGCAGCCAAATAACACATTCCACGCGATCCCGAACCCAAACCCAAACCCAAACCCAAAACCCGAAACCGACTCGAAACTTTGCCACGGCTTGTGGCGTCTCCGCGCTGCGCCCGCCTTTTATCGCTTTTCACAGATTTTTCCCGGGACCAAGTCAGGTTGTGGCCCAACCGAATGGGGGAAAAAAAGAAGGAAAAATAAACGAAAGGGGGGGAGAAAAGCTGCAGTGCCCAGAAATGGCTTTATTGTTTGGTCTTTCTGAGCGTTTTACGACTACCGTTAAGATACAGCGGGAGTCAGTCGTAAACAATACCCGCTTGATGTCTCTGTTAGCCAAAGGAAATAGTCGAAATATATACATATATATGCATGATCCCACTAGGAATCCGGGTGCACAGGGACATACTTCCTGCTGCTTGTTTATGCAGCCCAGTTAGCGGCATTTCCGCAAGGAAAATATGGATGGAAAAACATCAAACGCGGCAAGGCTCTCTCGACTTTGTCGCCATTAATTAAGTCGTTGGCGGCACAGACACTTTGAGACACTAACTGCCGCCTGCCTGAATGCCTAAATGCCTAAATGCCTGTGGCGGCGATCTGGTCTCTCGTGTTCGTGGAATTTTTCCATAATTTTCTTACCCCCAAGGTGAGATGCGCAAAACGCAAACAAAAGATGCACAAAATTCTAGGAATTTTTCACCGCTCCTTGTGACTTGTGAAGTTAAACGAAGAAAAATAACATTGTTGCATTTTTGCCTCTAGCGGCTGGTTGGGGTTTAAAAATAAAACTTAATCTAGATTTTTCTTTGGGGGAAAGACCGACATTCCAGCGGTTTTAAGCTTTAAATTGAGACATCAAAAGGTATTTGGACTCTATAAAACAGCAATATCTTGACTATATTCAGGCTCAAGAAATACTTTTGTATCTAAAACCTTTTACCTAAAAAAAGCTTGGACTTAAAAACATTTTAATGATAACTGCAATTCAAAAATAGCCTCGTACGCCTAGTATTTCTAAGATACATTTTGAAGTGTCAAGAGTAATAAGTTTTTCCTATTTTAAAATGTTTTGTACATTTTTTAAACTATCTAAACTCAATCTCAAACTAAACTACTATAAAAATCTTAAAGTATTTTAATAAAAAATTGAATTGGATATTGTCTAGATGCCCAAGTATTTATAAGATAATTTGACTCTAAAGCATATAGAACCTGTAATACATAGATTTTTCAACTTTAAACAGCATTAAATACTTTTCAAAGAATTTAAACTGAAACTCAGCTTAAAATTCAATAATAATTTCGTAAAAATGTAGAAGTATTTTAAATATAAAAATTCAATAAGATATCGTCTAGATGCCCAAGTACTTATAAGATACATTTGAATTACCTTGCCTTTAATGTACCCAACACTTTAAGGATATGGTTAAGACTACTTTAAAACTATTTAATTTCAAAAAAATTAAAAAAAAAAACAATTTAATTATAAATCTTCACATTTTCCGATTTAAAATAATATTTTTGATGGAAAACCCAAAGTCATAGAAAATATGGAACAAGTCTAGCTTAAACTCTAAAAACCCCTTGACTAATAAACCCATTTTTTGAGGCCTCTACTAAACCTTTTATTATATTTTTTTTATAAGTATGTATGGCTATATATTTCTTTTTTTTTTTTTTTTTTTTGCCTTGCCAACTGTTCGCTCAAGATTGAGCCATCAAGCGGTACAGCTTTATGTTAACGCTTGTCAGTCGAGCTGCTGGCTCTCTTTTTCTCGACTGCTTTTTGTATCTCGAAAAACATGCTGCTCGATCTGTGCGACATATCATCAATCTTTTGCCTGTTTTTGCCTTGCGTGCCTCATTTTTTTTCCTTTTCCTTCCTATTCCTATATTTTTTAGTTTTAGTTTTAGTTTGTTGTTGTTGTTGTTAGTGCCCACCCCCGTTGTTCTCAGTGAGGAAATGTCACGGCCATTGATTTATGATCCTGCCCGGGGTTTTCCTTCGCTTGCATTTTCAAATGAAAATGTTACTTTAATTCCATGTACTTGCCTTTTGTTGCCGCTGTTGCGACAGCTTCATTAGAAATGCGCACACACAGAGCAGGAGGACTCGAACTCAGCCTCCATAATCCGCAGAGGCAGAAAATGGAAGGAAAGCGAAGGAAAAACGGAGGAAAACTAAGGCAGACCAGAGACCAGCTTAGATCCCATGACGAATGGGTACGAATGAGAAGGAGATATGAGCTAGAGAACAGCAGGTGCAGGTATATATCCAAGCAGATATGGTAATGAAATGTATCTTTAGATATATTTATAAGGGGAAAATATATACTCAAGGTATATCAGGTTAGTATTTCTTTAGTTTAGTTATTTTTCCTTTAAAGTTTGTTTTAATCGTAAATAAATAACATTAACAAATTTATTTCATTAAAACATTTTAAAAGAAATTATCCATTTAATACATTTTTTCCAAAAGTTAATTTTAAATGTAGGAGCAGTATAATTCATTACATTTTCTGGGAACCCAAAAAATTTTTGGAATTGCATTGTAAATAGAGATATGTAAAATAATCTAATAAGCCTTCATAATGATTTTATATTGCTACGAAAAATAATATAAAAGAAGTTACGTTGTTCTGTACATAATAAGATATATAAATCAAAGCGTTAATAAAAATTTCCCTTGTGGTTTAATTACATTATTCTTCAAGAAAACATTTTCCAGAATTGGGAAATTTAAGAAAGCTCCCAAAACAGACTATATACTCTTTTTAAAACCAAACTTAATTAGAAGCTTAATTATATACCATTTTCCCATTCAAATCTCACCCAGAATGTTAATGTTTGGAGTCCTCTGTTTTCTACGATCAACACAATTTCTCAATCCCTCCCATCGCACATCAATCAATCAAAGATCCGTCACATCAAACTGGCAGCGGCGGGGTTTTTAAACCCAAAAAATGTATATACTATATATAATTTCCTACCCCCAGAGAGATCTGACTACTTAATTACACGATTCGCTCCGTTTCGGGAAGAGGCAAAGTTTTCCATGCCATTCGGAAATCTGACAACCACTCGAGACTCGAGACTGGAGACTGAATACTGGAGAGTCTTCCCCCGGTTCGAATATGGTGCGTTTGGCCATAATCATAAAATATGAGCGCACCCAGTTATGCCGCAATAAAAATCGAATGCAAAACCTCACACACACCACTTAGTATATATATAAGAAAAAAGATATTTAGCATAAAATGAAATTCAATATGGGCAGAGGGACCACCCAGAGGCCATTGAATATGAATAGGGAATCTTATAGAATTATGTACATATGTGTGTATAGGGACAGGCGAATGAAATTTATGGCTGTGAATCATTAGCGGGGAATCTGAATGGAGCTTTCACGCTGGAGATTTAACAGATCGTGCTCTATATATGGTATTGGGATCTCCGAGATGCGACTTTGCTTTCCATGTTTCTCACGTAAACGTGTGCCATAAAACTTGTAGCTACCATAAAAGTTATATGCCACTTGATAACGTTTTGAATACGAAATCCCCGAGCATTGCCACACCACCGATCCATCCGATGTGTATGTAT